TTGCATATGTCTGTCACAAGCGATTTGTTTTGTCTCTCGTTATGTACAGTTACTTGGTCAGTCAGGTAATGCTGGACTTTATAAATGTAAGAGCGTTAACATCATGATGTTCTATTTCTGTTCAGAATACTGACCAGAGTAATAGGTCTGATGTTACCAGTGAAGAAGCTGCAGAAAAAGATGACCAAGTCCTGGCAACAGTGTCGCGGTAAGTATGAGAAAAATGAGGAGGTGTGTGCTGCTCTCCAGCAATTTGCCATCCCTTGTGGTAGTACTTCACAGTGTGGTAATTATAGAAGTTTCTTCAAAAACTTCTGCAATGAGACCGAAATTGAGGGAAGAATAGGAATCTTTACTCATGCATGAAACATAGATTAAGCACTTTTGTTTTTAAAGTGGTGCTTTTAAACGAGGAGTCAGTCATGGTAAATGCGAAAAAACTTAATCCCTTGAAAACTAAAACAAGCCTTTGCTACTGGCTTTAATACTGAGATGCATCTGATTCAGTGGTTAAGTATTTAAACAATGGGAATAAGTGTTTGTTCTCAAAGTGTAGTTAAGTGTTAGGTGTCAGGTAGGATGAGAAAAAAAATCCAACATGTGGGTAATTTAATGCACATATTTAAGTTTTGCATTTTTTTTCAGTGGAGAATTGGCAGCTGTAGTGTAAAAGGAGGAATAGGTTTTACAGAAGAGATTGTACGAAGTAAAATTTAAAAAAAAACCAACTGCCCCTTCACCCCAAAAAAACCCAAACAAAAAATCCCAGAACAACCTAAAGCAACAACAGCAACAAAAAAAAACCACACTCAAATTTTTGTTTTTAAAGAAAGATGGTTGAAGAGGATGGAGAGAGATAAACTAGGTTTGATAATTAGTTCAAGAAGCTAGTAATACATTCTAGATCTGCATATGTTAATAACTGTTTCTAAAAAAGAATGAAAACACTCCACTTCTCTAATTCTCCTCCCACTTTCAGACATGATATGTAATTCATGGATCTTATGTGTTTTTCCAGGTCTAATGAAACAGTGGGTTTACAAGAAGACAGCAAACGGAGTTTGCTGAATCCTGCCCCTCTAAGGAGAGGCAGAGTACAGAGACCAAAACCAAATCTAGGAAGAACTGTTGCAAGGCAAAAAGAACTGAGAGATGAAAAAGATCCTGAAGAGAAGACAATTAAAGGTGGAGAAGTAGAAAAAGATATAATGCACCACAGAGATGAAAACAATGATCCCTGCCTCAAAAGTGTAAGTTTCTTGAGCAGTTGCTTAGGCACGCTGTTTTGCTGAGTCATTAGTAGAAGACTTTGGTAACAGAGATCTAGCTACATGCCACATAATTTGTAAGGACAGCCATTGCATGCTTTGTTTATTCTTTCAGCATAAACTAAATTGTCATAAAATTTCCTCATGCTTGCACTTGGGTTCTGTTTTCTATGGTGTTGGGTTTAACACCAGTCGGGAACCAAGTACCAGCTTGCTCACTCACTCCCCCACCAGCAGATCTTGGAGATAATTGGAGGGGATAAAGCTAGAGAACTCATGGGCTAAGATAAAGACCTTCTGTTGGCAGGCAGGTGTTCAGCCATTCCCAGGAAAGCTGGGCTCTATTGTGCGTAACAGTTACTTGGGAAGACAAATGCCATTCCTCCCACTTTATATGCTGAGCATGATGTCATATGATCTGGAATATGCCTTTGGTCAGTCTGAGTTAATTGTCCCAGCTGTGTCTCCTCTCAACCTTCCATGCACCCCAATCCCCTCACCAGCCTGGCAGTATGAAAAGCAGAAAAGGTCTTGGCTCTCTGTAAGCCCTGCTCAGCAATAACAAAAACATCTCTATGCTATCAGCACTGTTTTCAGCACAAATCCAAAACACAGCCCCATACTAGCCACTCTGAAGAAAATCAACTCTACCTCAGGCAAACCAGCACTCACGGATAAATGGATTATGTCTCACTTTGTTGTATTCATGATACTGGATCTGAAAAAAGAAGTGCAAAGAAAAAGGTCTCTTAGAAGATCAACCACTTCAGAAAGAAAATATAAAGAAAAATAACTTTTTATTTTTACAGTATGTTCTGATACTAGTTGAAGGACAATAAGAAAAATACATCTTAGTGTTTCTGTAAGAAGTCCTAAAACTTTTTCATTTTCCCCCTCCTCTCCTAAATGAGTGGTTAAGCAAATATTTCATCTTAAGAGAGTGAAACTTTTATTCCTTTTAGAATTTGACAGTTCTTGAAGACACTCAGCCATGCACTGTGATGTTAGAAGGGGATGTTTCTACAGATTCTGAGACGAACTCAAAATCTACAAGACAGTGTTTCCAAGAAAAGTCCTCAGAAGCAGAAAACTGTGAAAGTGAAAAGGGATTGTCAGATGCCTTGAAACAGGTTCCAGATTTCAATACAGGGTAAGTTTTTTTTTAAATGGAGAGAAAGGATGGGTCAAAGCCATCAGTATCCCTAGGTGTTCTACAATTTTATCAACTCCAGCATTACAAACAAGTTTTATATCTATAATGAGAAGTTTAATCAAGACAATACTAGATGTCAACAAACAAAACTCCAAGGGCTTGAAAGCACTAGGTTTATATGCTGTTGGATGTTAATTTCATCTTTTAGACTATGGGCCTAATTTCCAAATAAATACATTTTTATGATACCTAGTTCCTGTGGTTGTCTTCTCCATGTTGGTCTCAGCACTGCATCCAAATGTGCTTATATAAATCCTTGAGTACAGGGTTTGGTTTCCTCTTAAAGTGTCCCTTAAAAAAAAAAAAGGCAACTACAAGTGTTCTTTAAGTCTGCTCAGTAACATTAAACATGGTTAGACAAAGGCATTTGTAAAATATATATATCCCCTGAAATGCCTCAACCTGTCTTCCAGGTCTCAACTGAAAATTGCAGTTGTTCTGAAACAGCATCTTTTCTTAACTTATCTTCGCTCGTCTATTTATCAGATACACAAGCTTTTGCTGGTGATTGCTGTTTTTATTGGCCCATTTTTCGTGTCAGTAATTTTGTTATTGCTCTGAGAGCTGCATACAAGTATGCCATGTTGTCCCATGCTTTTGATTGCTCTTCTGTTTGTTTTTGTAGGGAATCTCATCCTCAGAAGGAAGAGGAGAAAACTGTTTTATCATCAGCTCGGCTACTTAGGAGTCGATTCCAGAGACCAAAGCCAAATTTAAGAATGACAACTAATAGAAAAGAAGTGCTGGATATAAATAATAAAGGTGTATTACAAAAAGATATCAACAAGGAAGAAAGTTTGACAAAGTGTGACAGTGAATGTAGTATCCTTCCTGACACAGATGTGAGGCTTTTTTTTTTTTTTTTTTGTTACGTTATATTTGAGCCTTTGGGTTTGTGAAATGAAATACTGATGATTTAAAAAAATACAAAGTTAATAAATTTTGAAGCATTTTTTTCAAAAGCTAAAATTTTGTACATTAAAACTTCTGTGCTTTTCACTTGGTTGTATGTGAAGAGAAAAAGATGAGTGTATCTCTCCTTACGTGTCCAAATGTCTTTCTGACTCAAGGTGGCTTTGTAGAGTTGACAGTGAAGAAAGAAAAGTATTAATACAAGATGGCAAAGAAGGAATCTGGATTCGAAGCTATTTAAGTTTAATATAAAAAAAATGTGTATTTGTCCTGGAAAGATTAGGAAATGGTTAGTGAGCAGTTAGAGGAATTTTGCAGGAAACACTTTAGTGATTAGTACTAAACTTCATAGACATCGTAATGTCTGTGTTGGGTTTATTATCATGACTTGCTCTGGTTCTTGTGTTTACATTTTTCAGAAAACAGGAAAATATGAAGTCCTAAACCCACTAGAACCCTTGGGAAAGGAGATGTCACTTCATGTTCAGGAGATTTCTGAGAGGCCAAGTTGTAAATCCCCAAAAACATCTTCAAGATCAGAGGATGGTGAACTTGAGTTGTGTCTACCTGATATTAACCAAGATATTTTAACTACTAACGCAGGGTAAGGCCTTAGCTATTTTTGGTTCCTGACAGCAACAATGAAAGTATTTTAAAAGGAAATTACCAATGGATTCCTTAGTAGCAAAGATAATCTAATAAAAATACTGCACAAAGTTTGAGTTCTTACGGTTTTGACACTAGTGATAATTCTGGTAACAACTCCCAGTCGATCCTGAAATTGTGCGGGATCTGCTACTTCATCTAGATCCTTAAAAATCTATGGGGCCTGATGGGATTCTTTTAAAAACTCAGTGTTTTTATATGTAAAAATAGGCAACCTGCATTTGTTTCTGTAACATGGTTTTGTATTAAGTTTCTTTTTTTTTTTTCCCCCCATCTAACTTTGCATTGATAGCAAAAATACCACTGAAGAAGAAAGTAAACAAAAACCTCCTCCACACATCCAGTTAGTGCGGAGCAGTTTCCAGAGGTACAAGCCAAACGTGGTAAGAGCTGTTGGAAAGAAGGAGTTAAAAGTATCAGAAAATGAAAAGAATAAAAAGCTTGAAGAAAAGCACTTAGTATTGCAAAAAGATGAGCTTGCCAGTACTGCCATTGTAAGTCTTAATAAGCGCTTTTGCCTTCAAAGTTGCGTGTTCTGCTTTACGAATTAAATTAGAACATTTAAGTTGCACTCCCTGAAACTGAGACAATATACTAGTTGAAAAAAATTCCCAACCCTGGCAAGTTGCATGTATACCCTTGCATGTATAAAAGCAGTGAAGTCTAAAAGTTTAACTATTATTTTTTTCTGTAACATGAGGATCTGATTTTGATTGGATTACGTGATAGTGAAAAGGTTTATGCATTCTTAATATAAACTCTACAACAAAAATGCATAACAATTAGCTTTTTTTGCTCATTTTGTCTTTCCTGTTTGGATGAATCAAGCGTGTGTTTAGGAATTTAGTATAGTACATCAAGTGATGGCAAAACATAGTTATTTTTATGAAAAAAAAAAAGTTTTATCAATTTGATAAGTTTTGACTGGCTTCACCATTGCCTGATACTCCTTTACACAAGTAGTTTGAGTCATTCACCTACACTGTGTATCCCCACAGACATTTTACTAGGGACTGTAAAAGGAGTTGAAATCCTCAAAAACCATTATAGTACGATGAGTTCTCTGTAACCATTTTGTGGATTGCACATGAATCATGTCATAGATATAGGCATATCTGTGTAGACTTGCCTTACATTTCAAACTCAGCTAAGCTTTGTTGGAGTGACTCATTTTTTGGAGTGGTTATAGCTGGCTTTGTTCTTGAACCTGTGTGGAGTACTTGTGTGGTGCATAGGAGCACAGGTGTGCTACGTCTGTCATCTCCCCCTGAGCGCCACACTGTTGGCTCACCCCTCGCTGAGATAGTTCCTTGTGGTTCAGCTTTGGCTGTTCTAACCTGTGAACCACACAAGTGCATCTGCTCTGTGCTGGGCAAGTCTGTAGAAACAGAGCGGGTCTGATGCTCCTCTTTACAAATAAAGCTGTTACAGACCTGGTGTGGTGAAGGATATGTTTCACTGGCTTCTTTGTGGAGCCAGTGTGGCAAATACAGAAGTAAAGCTTCATAAGGCTTTCTGGGTCTGAGCTTATGTTGTTGTGGCTCGGGTGTGTCTGTGCTGCAGTGTCCAGTTTTCAAAGGTTTTACATTTGCTGAAGTATTTTGTTTCCACAGTGCTTTATGTAATAGAGAGTTGATTGAATGCTGAAAGGACAAGTGTTACTCTTAATATGTGGGTGCATATTGTATGTAAGAACTTCACTCTGGGTAGCCCAGAACTACAAAGACTTCTGTTATTTCTTGCCTATAAATTGAATTATGATAGCATGATTCTTATCTTTATTCTAATTGAGAAAATAGTGCAGTTTATATTTTTGTATATAAAATTTATCTGTTTTAGAAGCTTACTTGTTCCTATTTCTCTTCATGCTTCTTTTACTGTAAATCAAAGGATGAAAATGAAGCTGTATTGTGTCAAGCAGATGTATTGAGCAGAAAGGAACAGGAACAGCAAGAGGTGCCTCAGGTGCCCTCTATTTCTGGAAACATTTTATGTGAACAAAGCAGGTGAGGTTTGAGTTTAGCGAAATTACATTTGAAAGGCTTTCCTGTCGTGCATAATGAGACACCTTTGCAAATGTCAGTTCTCTTGTTCCTTGTTTTTTTGTCTTTCCCCAAAGTTAAATTTTCAATGCCTATAGACAGCTTCTTTCAGTGTTTTCAGAGCACATTTTTTTTGAGCTGAACTACTTGTCATTGTTTATCTGGTAAATACTTGATCTGTAGGACCTCATAGCTCTTCCTGACCAAGCATTTTTATTATTGGATTTGTATTTGCATAAGTAGCAATCATACGGGTAACACATACAAATTTTGCAAAATACCAGAAACTTATCTTTCACTCATCCCAGTGTGCTCTTCTGTTTTACTACTGCTCTTGTTAAAATAAGATCTGAAGTGTGTCTTAGACTGCAGATACTTTGATGTTGGTATGGTTAGCAAAACAACTTATTTCTTAATGTTAAAAATGCCTTGAGAAAAGTTCTGTTATTCCTTCTCCAACTTAACCATAAGTGAGAAATTTATATTTGAAAATACAATTTTATTGATCTTAAACAAAGCAGTCCATCCATCTCTAACCCTCTTGTATAAGGGTTGATTCAAAATTTAGTAAGTGCAGAAGTGCTTTTTTCCCCTCCTAGCCAAAGTCAAGTGACATAATTTTTGTGTGTGCTTTTTTTCTGTTTTGGTTTTGTTTTGTTTCTTTGCTTTAAATTCACCAGTGCTGAAAAATCTACCTCCCAAGAAGGCAAGCTGGGTGCTCAGAAACCAGGACAACTCACAAGGCTTGAAGCTCTAAGAACTGGACCAAACCTGGAAGAAGTATATAGCAAAAAAGAACCTCCAGTAGCACAAAAACTTGCTTCTCCAGATGAGGAAGAAACGAATAAAGGAGAAAAACTGTCTGTGGCAGAAGAATCAGAAAAACCTCTCTCAACAGTGAGAATTCTATTCATGTATTTCTGGCTTTACTTTCTGATGCTTGGCTCCACACCAGCTGGGTTTTTTTGACATCTAAATAAGTTGTTGTAAATGCAGCCATTAATTTTGGACTAGTGAGAATTCTTGTTCAATATTTACACCCTAATATGAGGTGTTCCAAAATCCTGTAAGTGACTCACAGATAAGATATCTAAAGACTTCACTTAAACTTTAACATTTCAGTCATATTCTTGATACATGAATAGGTACCTACCTGCCATATTTCCGTTGCTGGGTTTCTTCTGAGCTCCTTTATGGCTGCTCATGAAAGACTGCACTGGTCATAGTATCTATTTTTATTAGTTAAATACCTTCCCTAGAAGAATAAGCAACAGTGATGTTGCCATAAACTACTTGAAAGCTTTTAAGCAAAGTTTTGTCTAAGGTTAACAGCTCAATCATAATTTGCAATGCTAATATTGTTGTTGTTGTTTTTTCTAATCTAAGGATGACATGGAGGTATTGTTTGTGGGAGATTTGGCCAAGAATGACAATCTAGACATAAATTCAAGATGTATGAAGTCAGAAATGCTCTGTTCTTCTAAAAAGCCACCAAACAGCCACGACAACAGAGGGCAAGAAGAGTGTCCATCTACAGATGCTATGGGAAGCATTCTGGGTGCCACAGAAAGGTAAAGTTCCCTTTTGGCAAAGTATAAAAGCTCTTGTCCTGGTTTCATCTGGGATAGAGCTCATTTTCCCTTGTAGCTGGTGCAGTGCTGTGTTTGGATTTAGTATGAGAACGATGTTGATAACACACTGATGTTTTAGTTGTTGCTGAGCAGTGTTTACCCTGACTTTTCAGCTTCCCAATGCTCTGCCAGTGAGCAGGTGTACAAGAAGTGGGGAGGCAGCACAGCCAGGACAGCTGATCTGAACTGACCAAAGGAATATTCCATACCATAGGACATCAAGCTCAGTATATAAACTAGGGGAAGGTGGCCAGGGGCTGCTGATTGCTGCTTGGGCATGGTCTGGGCATCAGTCAGCAAGTAGTGGGCAATTGTGTATCACTTGTTTCTCTTGGTTTTATTCCTCTGTCTGACTCTATCTTTCATTATTTTATATTTTATTTTGTTTCAGTTATTAAAGTGTTCTTATCTAATCCCACAAGGCTTACTTTTACTTTCCAGCTCTCCTCCCCACCAGAGCTGGGGAGTGACTGACTGCATCGTACTTACTTGCCGGCTGGGGTTAAACCACAACAGTCCTTTAAAAAGTTTGTGCATTTGTCCAGTTGTTTCCATACAGCACTTGTTTTTGGAAGTATAGACTCTGAGCTGTACTAGTTGTTATGTACTATGTGCTGTGAAAGTCACTAGGTGGCATCCTTAAGTAATATAAGAATTTTAACAGAATTTTACTCAAGGCTGTTTTCCTTTTTAGAAGGTACTTTGCAGATGAGGGTAGAAGCAAGTAATCATAGTTTAGCTGTCTGAATTTCTCAGTAATTGATTCTTAGGGTACAGTGCACTATGAATGTGGACCAAAGACTGAGCAGCGCCCTTTGTACTCACTTATAATTGAGAAATGGCAAGTAGAGAAACATAAAATGAGCTTGCTGTCTAAGATGTATTCAGAGTCTCTTCAGTTTTTCTTTGAATTAGAAGTTCCTGCAATGATGTGCAGTCATCAAGAGAGAGTCCCTGACTCTCTTGTTGGAGGGGATGGTTTTTATGTATGTGCAATACAAGGCAGATAGATAGTGCCATTCACATGTAACAGTTCTGAGTTGTGCTATCAGGTACCTTTTGTTTAATGCAGAGCAGTCTCAACTCACTTTTGCTTTTCTCTAAAATTAGCTTCTGGTTCTCACCTGTGTCTTAAACTCTGCTTAAAATCTCTTCTGTAACTTACATTGAAATCATATCCCAGAGTGCTTGTGCTAACAAGACAAGGGTTTTACTTTACGGTCTTTGTGGCTTCTGTGATGGTGGAATTTCACAGATTCCCATAGTTCAACCCATAGTAGTTGAGGTTGGAAGGGTCTGCTAGAGGTCTTCTGGTACAACTCTCTTGATCGAGCAGGGCCACCTGGAGCTGGTTGCCCAGTGCCCTACGTCCACACAGCTTTTCAATATTGCCAAGGTTGGAGACTCCCCAGTTTCTCTGGGCAGCCTGTGCCAGGGCTTAGTACCCCTCACAGTGGAAAGGTATTTTCTGATCCTCAGAAGGAACATCCTTGTCTTCTATTTTTTGCCCATTGTCTCTTTTGTCTCTTGTTCTGGGCACCACCAGAAAAAGCCTGGGTCTGTTGTGTTCACATCCTCCCTTTAGGTTTTTATGCAGCTATTGAAGATCCCCTGAGCCTTCTTTCTAGGCTGAGCCATTCCTGCTCTTTCAGCCTTTCATCTTACAAGAGATGCTTCAATCCCTTTGCCATCTTTAAGACCCTTGGACAGGCTGTGTCCAGTATGGCCGTGTCCCTCCTACCAGGGAGCCCAGAACTGGTCAATACGCCAGGAAATGCTTCTCCTAATGCAGCCCAGCTGTTTTTTCAACTCTGAGACTACCAAGACCCCCAGGTTCTTTTCTGCAAAGCTGCTTTCCCCCTGCTTGGCTTGCAGCATGTGCTGCTGCCTTGGGTTGTTCCTCCCCAGGGGAAGGACTTTGCATCTCCCCTTGTCCAACTTCCTGAGGTTCCTGTCAGCCCCTTTCTCCAGGTCCCTCTGGATGCCAGCACACTCTCCCGTGTCTCAGCAATTCCTTCCAGATCTGCCTCATCTGTAGACTTGCTGAGGTTACACCCAGCCCCATCCTCCAGGTGATTTAGGGCGGTGTTGAACAGGATTCGACACAGTATTGACCCACAGGGTACACTCCTAGTTACTGGTCTCCAACTGGATTTTGTACCATTGTTCACAAACCTCTGAACCCAGCAATTCAGACAGTTTTTAGTGCACTTCCTTGTCTGCTCATCCAGTCTATGGTTCATCAGCTCCCTTACAAGAGGATGTTAGGGGAGACAGACAGTGATAGAAGCCTTACTGAAGTCAGGGGAGACACTCTTTACTGCTCTCCCTTCATTTATCAAGGCAGTCATTTCATTGTAAAAGGTTATCAAGTTGGTTAAGCATGACTTCCCCATTGTGAATTCATGGTGACTACTCCAAGTCACCTTGTTTTTTTCATGTGTGTGGAAGTTGTTTCCAGGATTAGTTGTTCCATCACTTTCCCAGGGACTGAGATGAGGCTGACTAGACTGTAGTTCCCTGGATTCTCCTTCTTGCCTCTTTCCAAGTCTTGAGTTTAGAAGCCCAAGATTTCTATCTTACTGAGCTGAATGTGCTTGAAAAGATGTAAGGATATTATCCTCTTTGAAAGCAGTAGAGCCTTGAGCACTGGAATTACTGAATATTAATGTTTCTCTGACTGCTTAATTTTGGAAACCTATGTTGGTATAGCTGAAATTTTCTACTCTACCTTAATATAGAGTATTTCTTAGTGTTGTTTTCCTTCCAAAAATTTTTCCCAAAAGCAATCAGAAAAGTTCATTGCTGCAGAGGAATTACCTCCTTTTTGCAGTGGTTTTTTTCCTCCTTTATGTTTATTTAAACTTAACCAACTAAACAAATAAATATTTAGAAAACAATTTCATTTCTAGCTGGAAGTCTTAAATTTTGGATAGTAAGCAATCTTGTAGAGTGTATTTTGTAGTTCCTCAGAAGTAAAAGTTGAAACATATTTTTGTAGGTCCAATGATGAATTAAGTTCTGGAGAAGAAAGTGAACAGAGAGCAAGGGAACTCTACGGGATCCCAAGGTCAAACATAATGAGACTTACTAGAAAAAGGGATTATCCCAAAGAAAGTGAAAACAAAGAAGAGGGCAACACTGAGAAGAGAAATGAAGAAGAATGTTTGCTGTTATTAAAAACAGGTGTATCAATGGTAAGTCTTCATCACATGTTTTGAGCCAATTATACATCAGTTCTTTTGCTTAAGTTCTCAGAACCATAGGTGGCACAGAAATCCAGTATATTGCTGGGAAAGGTTAATGTAATCATTTGATTTATATTTTTTTAATTCATTACTGGAAATTATGTGGATTCTAAATGGACTTAGAATCTAAAAACTGTGGAAATATTTAAAGTACAGTGTTTTCTTAAGTTCTACTTTTTATGTGGTTGTAATTCTGCATTACAATAAATACATGTTAACACTGTTAATAATGAATGTTTTTTTATTCATTGAACAATGGAAATTAAGGCAGTTGTCTTAACATCAGATACTACCTGAAACTTGTGTAAGTATACTTCTAAATTAAAATGAATGTGAACAAAGTTCAGACCTTCTTCTGCTTAAATTTGCCTAACTTAGTGCAGGCTAGTTCCTTCTCATTCTAAAGCTGCGGTACCTGAATCAAGTTTTTCTGGTGTTCCCTATTTTCTAGATGGATGACTAAAATTTTTCAGTTAACATATTATTTTGGGCAAGTATCCTTAGTTGACAGAACTGTGGCTGCTATGTTTGTCTGTACATATGTCAAATAATATTTAAATGCTGTTCTCTAAAGTATGGCAGTATTTTCTTCCTAGTTTGTTCCCAAGGCAGAAAAAGATAATTTTTCCATTCTGCAAATTGTTCTTTAAATTAATAGGTAGTTTTAGAAAACTGGTAATCTTTCCAGCTTCTAAAGAATTGTTACTTTTGATAAATTGAGCATGGTCCTTGTCTATTAACTACTAGCAGCACTGGGAATTCAGGCATCATAGATATATAGCCTCTGCTATAGAGGCAGAATTAAAGGCAATGAGGAAACATGTCCTAAGTTATCAGAGGTGTCAGCTGGGCATGTTTTCAAGAACCTCAAACTTAGTTCTTTAAATCTTCTTGTCACCAAAACCAGTTAAAAATGTTTAGCACTTATTATGATGGTAATTGTCTCTTCTGTTCAGCAAAATTCCAGTAACGTAGTGGAAGCTGCATCCTTCTCAGAGTCTACAGAGAAACACAATTTTACAGAGGATGTTGAAGAAACATCTTGTAAACGAACCAGGCAGGATATTACACTCCAGTCTCCAGAGATATCCTCAGAGTGTGAGAGTCAAGTAGAACAAGATGAGGATTTTCAGCTTTCTACCTCTGAGGAGAAACAATCAGACAATCTTACAAGGTAAAACAGCTAATTTTGTTTTGTAAACTCAGCTAATTGGTAATTATTAACCATAGTTCTGCAGTGTGTTATTTGAATTCCTGCAGCATGTCAGTCCATGTGTCTTCCATCTGAACTTGACCAGATGCATGCAGATACCCCAATGTCTCTTACCCTGCTTGTTCTCTCATAAAATGAACACAGCCAGCACTATCACCAATCCATCCCATTGTTTCAACAGGAATTCCTGATTTTGTAGGGGAGGACTTTGAAGTACCCATATTTGGGGGAAATGGTATATTATCTGCTGCTACGGAGATTAGTTGGTCCCTGTTATTTTTGTAACCCCCTCACCATGTAGTTGTGGACCCTTAGCCCTTCTATTCCCTAGATTAGAGGATCCCAGCTCTTTCTACCTCTTCTTGTAGCCATGTCCCACAAGCTCAGGACAATCCTGAGTGCCCTTTTCTGGACCCTATTTCCTCAATATCATTCCTGAACCAGGGGACCTGAAACCACACCTGACATGGTATTGCTGATGTTGATAAGGTCGACTACAGCTTCTGTCCAAAAATGCTGTAACAGATGGTGTCAAAAGCCTTCCTGAAGTCAAGTAGACTTATATCCTATTACTCCCCCCAGTCCCTTTAAGCAGGCATTTCATCACAGTATTATTGGTCAGGCCCACTTTGTTCAGGTTAATTGTGGGATTAACTTAAACAGAAACTTTGTACTGGGAGTATCCTCTGCTGCCATCTGTTTCCACTCCCCACCAGTTTACCAAGGAGGTTGTTTTTGGGGGGAGGTTTGCGATTACTTTTGGTACTCAAAAGTGGTTGTGCCCATGATTTTGAGGAGAGAAACAGTGAGCAACTGATTATCAAAGAGATTGCTGGCTGAGAAACCAGAGCAGATAAGTAGTTATCATCTAGCAGTTCCAGTTGCTAGACATTAGTCTGATCAGCAAAACTATCATAGTTTGGGGTTTCTAGTGTAGCTTTAGCAAAAGAGAACTGGAAATGTTCCCGTGACTTAAAAAGTATGTGACATCCCTCAAAATGAAAATTAATTCATCCTTTTCTAATCAAAGAATTCTGTATCTTACAAGTTTGTGCAGATTTCTGAAACTCCTTAATATGCATTTACAATCAGTACTTCATGTATACATGAAGAAATTAGGATTTCTGATTAAATGCTTATTTGTCACTATAAGTTAAGAATTAAATAGTTTGCATTATTGATTACAATTATCTCTTTTCTCTTTTTAATTGAATTTGTTTTGATGTGTAGTACCCCTCTCTTCAGAATGTCTTGGACTTCGTTGTTTTTTAAACTTGCTTTTGTTCTGTACTTTAGAAGGCAGTTCAGGAGATCATCAGAACGGATAGCACTGCCAAAACATGTGTTGGAGCTAAGAACTACTACTTCTTCTGCCTCTGAATGTGAGGCTGATTGGAGTGAGAAGGGGAATCAAAGGCAAGAAGCTAAACTGAGTGTTGCTAGAGGCAAAAGTTTGAAAACTAAACACAGAAAGAAATCTGGGAAGGAACCCAGAAGTTCAAAGATAACCTTCGTCACCCTCCGGGCTTCTCAAGAGGAGGAGGATGAGGAGGCAGATGACTTTGAACTTGATGATGAAGATGAATGCTTTTCACCTGAGGAAGTGAACAAGGCTCCAGTGTTTGTTCCTGTAGGTCTTCGATCTCCAAAACCTGTTCCTGTTCAGATAGAGGAAACCATGGAGGAGGTATTGTGTGGTTGAGTTCTGCATATGTACTTTTTTTTCTGATTGTTTAAAAAGCTTTTATTCTAATTGCATCTCTGAGTATTTCAGTTTGATCCCAGTTCAGTTTTATTTAAGAATGGTATTGAGAGTTAGTAGGGATGTTGGCAAATATTCTAGGTTTTGAACTTAATACTGCATCAGTCTAAAGTCCAACTGTGTGGTTACATTTACAAACTGTGTATAGGTCTTCAGGGTGCTCGCCAGTTTGTTTATTGGGATTGAATACGCCACAGACTACCATGCTCACTTACCATGTCTTTTGAGGCCCTAGATGGATCAAATGGAGCATTTCAATTTTATATTTGAATGTTAGGAAATGAGGGTGTGAGGGAAATGTTTCTGTGTATTGTGTCCCCATTGCTGAGAAACTTCAACTGTCTAGTGGGCTGACCTCAGCAGCAGCCAGGCACACAGGGCTGCTTGCTCACTCCCTTCTCCCGTGGGATAAGGAGAAATTAGAAGGGAGGGTTAAGAAGCCTTCTGTATTGATATAAAGACAGTTGCAGAGATGAAGCAAAAGCTGCATGTAAAAGCAAAGCAAAATATTGCTAGTCATCTTCCTCTCTTCTCCCATTGAAATACTGGTTATTTTTTGTCTCCTCAATCACGCCGTTTCTTTCACTGGGTGAAATAGCAGGAGAATTTAAAGCTCAGGCAAAACACCAAGGGAGACTAGAATAATTATGGGAAGTAAAGTTACTGCATGGAAACTTTTGCTGAATCATGGATTTCAAAGATGGGGAATATATATTATGTGTGGGGATGACAATCAAGTTTCCTGATTAAACACACAGGAGGCATGAGTACTAGTGAGGGACATTGTTAGATACCTGAGAACTCAGCTATTGTAAAATTTAAATAGGTCAGTAGAAAGTATCTGTAAAAGTGCAAGCTTTTGAAAGCAACCCAGATTGAACAGTGTTTTTCATGAAAACCTACTTAGAAATATTGTAACCTTTCTGTCAAATTTCAAGTCCTCATTGCTGAAAGTGTCAAATGTCTCAACTTCTTAGTGAAAAGAGAATGATTAAGAAGGAAAAGAAATTAGGTAAAACAGTGGGTGTGTTGCTGTGTGTGGGTATGTCTATTCCCTGTCTTACTTTGGAAAAAGGGTGAACTGTTTTTCCTTCCTGAAGACTTATAAAGCAAAAAAAGTGTGAACACTAACAAAACCCATTTGAGGTAAACAGTCATCATGACAGATCTCAACTGCATAACTTAGTTTGGTGGAGTAATGAGCAACTAGAAACAAGGTCTTAAGTTGTCTGATGCTTCCCCTTAGTTACAAGTAGCACTACCTGTTCTGCCTCCAGTTCATACCACTGATGTCTTTTCAAATCAGAAGGTACCATTTTTAGGAAGGATACCACTAGATGCTGAAGAGGTTTATAAAAATTTGCATTTGACAGATTTTCTTCTGTGTCTGATGAACTGAAATACTTTTAAAATTATTTTCACAGCTCGAAATATCTGTGAATGTACCGGATATGCAGATGGCTACTGATGTTGAAAGTCTTTCTCATGCATCTGTCCAACCCGTAGTACAGAGGGAAGAAAGAGTAAGCACCTCAACAGCTGTGTTTGTTTCATAGTACATACAAAGCTATTTCAACAGTGTCTTATTGCCATGTCTGCATGTAACAGTGTAGTTTATTAAACTCGTCCCACACAGATATGAGGGGCACAGTTATAGGAAAACTATGTAAGGTAAATATTGTTACCCTTTAAAGCCAGGGTAACCTGTGGGCAGGGAATTTTCCTGTAGGCATTAAAGTAAAATTGCGGAGTCATTTTATGTAGAGCTTTGATATTGTTTTTCTTTGTATTTAAGGAAACTACCATACGCGAAAATCCAGATGTGGACAAAGGTAGCTATGAAACCATCTTGCTCATCTATTTCCTGTTAACTTACTGCTAATATATATATTTTCCCCTTTCTTAAAATACGTTTTCCAAAGGTGCCACCCTCCTGGCTGACAGGTTCAGCTGTGTCCTGCAGGGGGTCAGTTGCAACTGCCTGTGGCCCAGGGCAGCGCCTCTGCTGCCAACATCTTGCCACCCATATCCAGTGCACCATTTAAGGCAGCCATGCTGCTTCTCAGTGTTTTTACAGTAGTTTGAATTTACTGGATGAGAATGGCTGTTTGTCTACAAGTGTTTTGATCCACAAATGAGATCAATTTAAAAAACAGCCACTTCATTATTTTGGTGGTAGTGTCAAAGGCTTTTTGAATATGGGTTAGTGGATTTCTGGTTAATGTCCTTTTGACTTTTAATGTGTGTGAACAACTTCACAGGAGTTAACGACGGAAGCACTGAAGCTGCTATGACTTTACTTGCCATGGGTGATCCAAATTTCCAGTTAAAAACAAGCCCTGAAGGTATGATCTGATTTATGAACAAAACCTTGCTTGTGCTTTCTAGATCCACCTAAGGAGGGATGGGAGAGTGGCTGCAAAGCTCTTCTGCATGTTACTGCATAGCAGGAGGTCAAGAGTCCTTTGTGCCTTTAGTCCTGTTGTGTTGTAAGGTGTAGTGAGTCTAACCAATGCAGGTTGGCTGGAAAAAGTCAGGCACCCTACTGGATACAGCCAACTGCATCACTGTGCTAGAAAAATGTTTCTGAGACCTATTTTAGGAAGGATGTGTTTGAATTGATCTGGTCACATAAACTGGACAAAAGAAAGGGATCAAGGTTAAAAGACTGTAACTTTCAGCGATCTTTTCAGACCTTTAACATGAAGCATAGCTTTTTTCTCCCTAACTAGATACAACCTGAAATTACCTAAGTTTATTGTAGTTTTTTATAGGTTTTATTTAGAATTTATTCTCTACTTTCATTGTTTGAATGTTAGTTTTTGTGTTCTTACTATCAAAAGCGTGCACTTATGACTGCATTTATCTGGGATTTGAATTTGTGTCCTTGGAGAATACAAACTTTGTTAAATGAGGTTTGAAGTTATATAGCTGTATGTAAATGCCAAACCTGAGTGTTTTAAATCATGTTTTTCTATTCTGTTTATTGTTAACCAGAACGGACACACACGTTACCTGCTCAAGGTGAGTTCGACGTGGGTAATAGCCTTGTAACCTGTGCTTACTCCAAAGAAAATAGAACTTCTAGTCAGTATTTACTTTCTTCAGACACTTCTACCAAGGAATTGCTGTCTTCTGAGGATGGAAGCAACATCAATGTAGAGAATCAAAGCACTGGCACAAGAATTGGCATAGAAGAATATTTGGAGAAGGATGCTCCTGACACCAGGTTAAATTACTGCTTCATTTTCTTCAGTGAGAAATCTTCTGACACTGCTTACTTTTGCTAGGTTCCTTCTGGCATTTTTATTGAATTGCAAGCAGCCTTGCTTTAGTAAAGGTTTCCCAGTTTGTGTAATTTGGTATGTAATCTGCAAAAACTTCTCTTGTCTCTTTCTTATAATTTTCATAAGATGTTTGTATGTACTTTTGGCGATGTAGAACTTGTTTTTTACTCCTGATATTTGCCCTTTTGGGAGAGAAAAGAATATTCAGGCTAAGTTATATTGGATCACTGTTAATTACCAAGCTCATTTTCCCAAAGTTCTCTACAGCTAATCAGACCAAGGCAAATTGCTTAAGTGTCACTGCTGCTGTGGGATGTAAATCAAAGATTTAGAGCAAAGGGATAGGAAGGAACCAGTTGATTTTCTATCATTATGGTTTTTAGTGCTTTAGCTTCTATAATTTTGCATTTGTGAATGATCAAACAACTTAATGGGACACTTTTTCAGAAAAAAATCTGCTGGTGATTATGTATTATTTGAAAGACTATTTAACTTGATTGCTTGAACAGACTATGAGACTAGTTGTTACTATGACTCTAAAAAATAATAATCCAAGATATTTTATGTCCAGTTTGATTATATTATTAAACCAGAACTTACTATCATATGATCAGTGTTAGATTTCTGATCTTCTCCTGTTATTTAAATATTTCATTTGTTCTTTTTTTTTTCCTTTTGGGTAGGGAACACCCTAGTTTGCAGTATACCTGCCTGTATCAATTCCCAGATGATTTTTTCTTTCTGCCAAATAGTTTTCTTTCTCCTCTGCCAGCTGCAGCCTGTATTTCAGCTGTTCATTATCTGAACTACTCCATATCTCTTATATCTTCTCTGCACTAACTGTCAAATATCAAGAACTGTACTGATGGCATTTTTCTTTTTACTTTCAATAATAGCTCTTTGCCTGTGGTGAATAGTATGGAACTGACAGGAGACAGACTCCTGCAGCCTGAGCCAACCTTTGGAGTATTGAGGTCCAGTGAAAACATAACACAGAAGTTACTTAACACAAATGTACTTGTGGAACAACTAGAGCAAATTCAAACTGGTAAGCCTGTTTCTTATCCTAGGGTTCTGAAAATGGTTTATTCAGATATATTGATACCGATTCATGAAATGAAACTGAGCTGAGAGTCTTCACTTTCTATTCATCTTCACAGATGATACATCACTCCTGTCATATGGGGTACTCATTTTAGTATAGTTTTATACAAAAGTACACCTTTGAGTATAAAATGAAATGAAATTTGAATAGCAGTTTTTCTCTGCAGGTCTGAAATTACCTGGAAAGGACTTAAATTACTGGAAGGCAAATTACAGAAATAACAGCACAATACAGTGTACTTTTTTTTCTATTAATACCGTCTTTCCCTTCTATTAAAAGTAGAAGAGGAGCTAGAAAGAACTGTTTTCCTATTCTTAAAGCAGTTACAAAAAAGGTGGTCTTCAAACTCTTAGTTATCTTCATATCAATGGCAAAATACAAAACATACAAAAGCAAGATGAGATATGTGTATGTGTCTTATTTATATAAGACATAATATACATGTGCACATGTACAGCAAAATTCTTAATCATTTTGCAGTATGTTAATATATACACATATACATAACTTTAATATATGCAAGATTATATGTAAAAAATAAATGAATATATACACACATGCAGATAAGAACCCCATTATTTTAACTTTTATTCTTATAAATCTTAGATCCTACAACCGTGAGGGATACTGCAGAAATGCAGAAGGTGGAACTAGAACAGATCAGACCAGCTGCAGATGATTCTTCAGTTCTTCATGATTTTGCAACTCAGAGTATGGAACTTATCAAGCAAGTAGACAAAACTGAGAGGTAGGAAGACTCAGCAGTTAATATCGACTTTATTCCTACAGTCTCTTAAAATATGCAACTGAAGTTCAGTGTGCAGCTGTGATGGAAACAGTGTGCTTACAGACACTATGTATGTTTATGCAGATAGTGTGCAGTTGAGACTTCAGTTTTCAAGGTTTTTCTGTCTTGTGTGTGGTGCTACAGCTTTTGGAAGTAAAGCATTAACTTATGTTTGCTGTTCCAGAACTTTGTAATTACCTTGCTGCTTAACTATCTTCCATAAAACTGCATCTGAAAGGAAAAGTTAGGAAGTTGATCAATTTGGAAATGTTAATGAGCTTGTAAGGGTTCCTGCTTGGCTGCGCTTGTAGTAGGAAAGTCTCCATTAGTGGAGTTACGTAGGCTTTTTCCTGAAATACTTCATGTAGACTTGTTTCAAGATTATGCATTCCGTTCAGTACAATAATGTAGCTTTTAAACAAGTACCTTGTTTCTTCTCTATACCTACATACGCTTTATATTAAATACATCATAACACAGAATTTAGCAGATGCACAGTGTATCTTCATTTGGTTCTAAACTAACTAGATATATACCTTACAGAGCAGAAAAACAGATGAGAGGTGCTTGTGGAAATTCAGGATATGTAAGACCTGTAACTGCATCCCCAAAATCTGAAAAATCACACCTTGAACTAGAGGACTGTCCAAGTCAAAGTTCTGTGGATGAAGTTCCTGAGCAAAATCCTTGTCCTCTTGAGCGCAATATATGCACAATCAACTTTACTCAGGTAAAGAACTTAATTACAGTCTAGAAGTGTCCAGTTTCTATAATTCTGTAAAGGAAGAGGTTTTCAGTGCAAATGTACTCACCTGCTTTAAAGACCTGGTACCTAAGCTGTGAATGAAGTGAATGAAACTGGCCTTTTTTCAGAGGCATAACCAAACAATCTTTCAGACAAACTTAGTCTTTGCAACTGTTCAGAGCATTTCAGCAATAAGGGATATACACTGGCAAAATTTTGAGCAATTTTTAAGGAGTTCTGATGGAAGAAGTTACCTAAGATTCCTATAACTATTCAGTGTGACCTCTTATGGTTATATTTGTTTAAATTAAAATTAAGTTAAAATGTTACTGCTTGGATGCAGCATATTCATTGTTGCTTTCCTTTGCTTTGTTTAAAACAAACTACATCCTTTGTTATGCTGTTTCTCATTTATTTAAAAACCCAGTTAAGAGCTTTATGTGTATATTACCATATTGCATATACATATTTTACATATTTTACATATACATATATGACGCATATTATCATTTTATATATTATGGACAAACAGTGTCTCTTTCGCATCCATTTCTTTGCAGTGGTTTGTGTATCCCTGTTCTAGTATAAATGAGAATTATCTTATTTCTTCATGAGAGGAAGGTTCATTCTAAGTTCCCTCAGGTTTTCCAGTGTTGTCTGAGATCAATGAACATGCAGTTACAGTGGAACAGCTGATCCATAAAATCTTGTTTCCCCAGTGCAACCTGTTGGTGTGTCAAGGCTGATTTCATATTAGAACAAGGTACAAGAATGATTTGGCTCTTACAGGACTGGCAGAGAGTATGAAAAAAGGCAATTTGCAGTAGAGTATTCCTGTTTTTAGCAAAGGGAGAAGCCATAAAAGGGAAGGGAGAGATGAGCTGCAGAGCTTGGTGTTTTTCTTTGGCACTGAGTGGTTTTGTAAGAGTTGGAGGAATTTGGTTCCTTAGTGCCACTGAACAATTTATTGTGTGAGTCATCTCTGACAGAGTTGTGCTGTAGCAAGTATAAATTTATTTTGACAAACCATCAATACAGACAATGAGCTGCATATAAATTTTATATTTCCCCAGTGTTTCTTGTCCTTGTCAGGCTAATATCCTTCAACTTAGAACATCTAGAAGTGAAAGCTGACAAATGCAATTATGATGATGTGATTAGATTTTTTTTTGCTCTTGAGCATTTGACTTGTTTTGTTTCTTTCCTGTTTCCTAATTTCCCAGATTTATTAAGTTGTTTTATTTCAACTGTGTTGTTTCTAGAATGAAGCTTGCACTGAGGATGCTCAACGACAGTGCGTAAGCAGCACAGAAGAAACTTCAGGTATAATGTGCTAATATTCAAAGTTAGCAAAAGCCCACACTTGTGTATCTTGCAATTATGCAAAGATGAACAAAAAAATTAAGTATTTTCATTGCCATGGTTAATCAATCTTTTTCATTAACAAAAATAATGACCCACAGCACAATGACGTTCCCTGCCCTAACCTCTTATCATTACATTTCTTTACCAGAAGCTAGACTTGGGAACTTTTGGAATGACCAGCCCTTCATTAAGTTTAAATATCACTGGCAGGGAAACTTCTTGCTCCCTCTGCATGCTGTGGGCTCCTGCTGCTTACCTCATGCTAGGTATAGCAGTTTTTAGAGCCCTTTATGAGCCTGTGACTCACCTGTGAAAAACTGAACATGACAAAGGGAGAGAAACTATGCTGTTCTCCACTGGTTTAGGGAGCTATAGCTGCTCATGAAGTTACCAAGTGAATGCTGTTGTCAGAGTTTTGAGTAGGAGGGCTGTACTGTGCAAGTGTGGAGCAGGAGAGAAAGGAGATAAGTATAAGGAAGGAGACAATCAGACTTCCTTCTTTAGCTGTACTGAGTCAACAGATTAATGCCTAACTGATTAGATGGGATGAAAGTTATGAATCTGATGTCTGCTTTTCCCCGAAACAAATTGAAATACAGTTGGTGTGGAACCACTATTTATCTAATATATGGGATAGTCACTGTGACAGAAGCACAGTGTACTTACTTTACATGGAAACTGCACTCCAAAGCTGTAACTCATGAGCTTGTGCAAAAGATAGGGGTAATACTTCTTCTTAGACATCTGTTGTTATGCTGTTATTGCCAGGATCTTGGGATGAAGCATCTTAAATCATATTTAATTAGATTAAGAACCAAAGCGAGTTGAGGTTGGAATAACAACTTTACATCATCAGTGAGAGCTGTCTTAAGTAATGGAATACCACTGTTGTTTTCCATCTTTTGAAAACTTTACAAATGTTCTCTCCTTAATTCTGCAGTTATCTGTTAATGTCTGCAGTTATCTGTTGATTAAATTATTTCTATTTTTCATTTATTAAATTCAAGATTAGACTTCTCAGGTCCTCTTCTGCCTGTCCACAGTTAGGGAAAAAATACTTGTGTTTACCTTCAAAGCAGCAGACACCTGCCATTTATAGAAGAAACTCTTAATACCTGACAGTTGAAATTAAAGACAGGACCATTTGACCATCATGACACGAGTTTAATTAAACTGCAAATTTAATCTTCTCTAATGCTAGAACACCCACTTAAAAAGCTTCATCCCTAGTAGGCATTTTTAATATTCTTCATTCTGAATGGTAATCAGGACTCCACTGCAATGAGTAGGCTCCAGGGGATGACGATGCGTATCTCATCTAAGGAGAAAGGAAGCAACTTGTCTCAAGAATATGCCCAGTGCCTTTTTCCATGAAGAAATGAGTGCCTAAAATTTCATTACACCATGTAGGAAGAAAATGAAGACAACAGCGTAATTTCAAATTTGAATAATAGCTATTTGATATTTCTTTATTCCCCTGAAAAAATTATAGTAGTGAACGATGACCGCAGATGTCCAGAGGAGGAACAGACATTCGTTTTAACATTGGTGGAAATCCCAGTTGACTCAGAAGAGTTTGATGCATCTGTTGTACTGGAACAAACTGCAGAACCATTACTACCAGCCCCAATACTTATCAGTCCAATAAATGCAAGTGAAACAACTGTGACTGAAGTGGAAAGGTAAATGCTTTATTTTTGATCAAAGTGAAACACCTTTTGCGTACCTTGATTGTTCCTTGAATGTGCAGTACAGATTAGAACTTCTCAAAAGAAGAAATGCAAGAGGAAATAATTTTGACAGACTGGTCAGTGAATTAAGAAAGGGAAAAGGGCTCTAATCAGATTCGAGTAAGATTTCATCAGTGATTTAAAATTAATGTTTTAGTTAGCTGGGATTTTGGCATCAACCTTGATTCTGATTTATCCTTTAGAGCAAGTCTTCCTTTTCAGTAGAAGTTATGTTTCCATCCTGAGCCTATTCTGCTGTGGATACTTATAATGAAAAGCAATTGAAATGAAAAAAACTTAGCACGTTTGCATTTTTACAGTACTTTAACTGTTCTGCAAAGTAGCTGTTTATTAATTGCTCTTCCAAATTTTTCATGTGGATGGTCTTCTGGAGAACATGATAAACAGTATATATGAATTCTGCTATCATTCTCTTGAATTTGTGCAATGTTCAAAAGGCAGAAGAGGTGCAAACGCAAACAAATTAATTAATTACTCAACAGATTAATACCTGGTTTGTATACTGTGATACAAAGGGTTTGAGTTTCTTTTACAATCAGTACCTCTCAACGCAATGTAACAAAATTGTTATTTCAACATTACAGTTGAACTAAATCTCCTGGTCAGTTTGGGAGAAAAAAAAAACATCATCAGAGGAAAAAGACACTCTGAAGAATGGAAGTGTTGCAAAGTTGTAAAAAAAACCCCTATTACTATACTAATGTAAGTCCTCAGATCATAACTAGAGATGTGATGCAATTCCACATAATTGTGGAGGATCTTGCCCTGTGATATCAGATGCTAATGTCATTCTCTTATAGAAAGGAAAGGTCTTTGAGTGAACGTTGGCTACACAGCCTAAGAATTCTCACTCCTGTGGAACTACTGATTATAGACAGAATTGCTGACAGGCAGAGTTGAAGCACATGTCCTGTCTCACTGTTCCCTTACTGTTTTACCCTCTTTCCCTAGTCTCTGCTGCTTCCCTGTATGTCTTACTGTCTTTTGAGATCATACAGGGTACGGGGATTCAATTGTGCTTATAAATAATACTGTATTCTAACATTTTCTAGGGCATTTAATTAGTCACCATATTTTTACATTTTATGAAAGGATCAAGTGGAGTTCAAATAGAACAGCTAAAGTAACTAGATTCAATTATGACTAGAAAAACTCTAACTCAAGATAGCACAACAAAATCTTTCTTGGTAGTAAATAGTACACTTGAAGTTAATTTTGACAATAAACGAGAAGGAGTATCACCACAGATCCATGCGTAACTTCCATACAGAAATGTTATACAAATTAAATTTTGGCTTCTCATAAAGTCACAATAATGACATTATATATTAACAGCATTGGATCCATGACAGCTGCAGCTGGTGAAATTGCTACACCTTTAAACAGCAGTATGGAAACCAAACAACTAGACAGTGCATCAGTAGACCCTGTTCCAAAGTTGCAGACAACTCGGAAACGATCAGCTGCTGAGCTTGAAGAGAATGATTTCCCTACTGCCAAGAAAACTCTGTCTACTGTTGCAGTGAAAGATAGCTTGAAAACCTCTTGTAAGGTAAGATCAAAAAGTGGCGAGTCTTCATGCGTAGTGTAAATGCATAACAATAATACAACATTTTAATGATGTTCATTTTTTAATGGTGCCACTTGCTTAAATATTTAGTGCCTATACAACTTAAAGGAAAAGCAACACCAATAGATTGCTTTTAATTTTGAACTCTACAACAGTTTTGGGGTGTTCATTTATTTAGTATCAGGTTTTTTCAGAATCTGTGGGCTCTCAGATTTTTTTAATTAGACTTCCTACGAGGCAAGGCAATAAGACTAGGATATGTCTTATTTGGTTCATTCAGCATAGCCTTTCTGGCAATGACATTGCAGGAGGGGAAACTCTGTGGGTATATTGGATGGTTGACAAACTGCTTAGGTTCATTGAATGATGTTGTGATTCTGCACCATGTCTATTACATGAAGAAGCTGTTAGATATGTTCCTATCAATTTTTGACACAGCAGGTACTAGTTTAAAAGAGCAAGCTGCCAGTGAAAACTGGCTAGCATGTTTCCAGCTTCCTTCTATGCTTTTTAGAATATGACCAAGCCTGTGGCAATGGCTACTGTTGATTTTTGTGAATAGGCTAGGATTGTGTAGTGTACCTTGGTGTAGGAACGGGTGGTAATTCCCCACATGATTCAGGCAGCTTTTCTAGGAAGGACTGGATTACAGTCCTCTTCCTTCTTTTGATCTCTCATCTTGATATCCTTGTCAAGTCATTTGTCATAAGAACACCTTAAAAACCTACTCAGGAAATGAGTTAAGTAATGAATGATGCTTTACTGTCTTCTGTTTCACTTATGTTCTTAGAACTCTTAGAATTTAGAACATGTGTGATACAAGTTTATCAATTTTCATAGTCACTTCTGTATTGAGAGCAATAGAGAAAATAACTTATTTTTTTTTCTTTTTTAAATACAGGGTTATTCAATTAAATCCAAAGATGCACCAATGATACCTTCTGGTAGGTAAACTTAAACTCGTAAACCAAAGTATAATGAATGTAAATGCTTAACACATCACAGTTTAATACTGGTTGTCATGCTAAATATTTCTGTATGAAACTATCTAACATAAAAGTAGGAACAAATTTTCCTGGTACTGTGGTAATACCACCATTCCTTGTTTTCTGCTATAAACTAGATATGTTGGATTACGTAACTGGCTGTTAATTTCATAATGGTCCTGAAAACATTGCTGTAGGTAGCCTGTGAAATTTGAGAGGTTTTTTTGACTAAACATGTTATCTTCTCCTAAACAGATATTTCCACCTGTTGGAGAGCACTAGTAATCAAAAGTATTAACTGGCATTTTAACCACACTATGCCCAAATAATATATATATTTTTTTTTATTTTGCATTTCTATTTGAAAAAAATAATTGTTTGAAAGCCTAATCTGTCTCAGAAAAATCAGAGAGAAAGCAGAATTGCTGACAATGCAATCTTCGGTGATCTGAGCCTGTGAAGGGCTTGGAGAACGATGTTTTGGCCCTGAAAAAGACTTTAAAGGGAAATTGTAGAAGCTTAAACAGTGAGATGACTTGACTAAGTTCTGTGGTGTGCTGTAAAGGATGAGAGGAGGAGGAGGAGCGTGCTGTAAAATCTAATACCATGCTTCTATCAGCTTTTCCCCATAACTTGTCTAAGATCTTACAGGCTTTAAAAGTAGACCGTGAATTTTTAGTTCTTAGTGGTGACTTAAAAATATAAACTACAAAAGAACCTGAACAAAAATTCAGCCACTCTCTTGCAATGGTGCAAGCCATCTTAATATCACACGTGCCTTTTGGGCTCTTATGTTATCACTGAAGTCTTCGACTCTCAAATCCTTTTACAGGGAATCCTTTTCGAAAAACAGAGCCTTCAGCAAAGGAGAAAGTACTTACCTCTGCGTTGGTGTCTGAGTCTATGTCACAACTCACTAAGAGAAGCCAACCTGAGACTTTGGAGAACTTAAGGAAAGCACCACTTGAAAATTTAGCATCCAAACAGGAAGAGGAGGTGATATCTAGATTAACCTCTAACAGAATAGGAGAAATAAGTGGACAAGGAAAGCAGGAGAGTGTGCATGAATCTGGACAGTTGGAATATACTGGAAGCCCATCATCTTCAAAAACTCCAATACTCAGGTATTTATGCAATAATGTTTTGTTAGCCTGTTCTGTAAAAAAAACCCCTTGTTTCCCTGTTGAGTATTTTATCAGTATCATTGTTTGTGACTTACATGGCTAAGAGTTACAGTATCTATACTCTCCTCCAAGTTAGAAAGGATCAAACTGTCTGCTTTGAAATTTGAATTATTTTACTCATTAAATGACCATATTGACCAGGGACACTACTGACATACTGTGTGTCTATTTAGACATTGACAGATGCCTCTTGTCAGGCAGACATCCATTGGCTATGATAGGGGCTTAGGATAATTTTTGTTTTCCTTACCTAAGTCTTATGTTGTGAGATATATACCCATCCATGTATTTTGGTATTTGTGCTGCCAGTAAGATTTGTTACTGGTATAGTACTCAGCACACTGGTTTTTTGGACTAACTTAAGATGTGTCATTTCTCCAAAGGAGTTTCAATCATGGCAGCTTAGAGGATATTCCTTTTATCTATCCATTGACTTGACTTTTTTAAATATACCTTTCTATAATGTTTGTTTAAGTGTTTGATTCCCTGCTCTCTGTTGTTCCTGTGCTCACTGATTTTGATTGTGGTGCTGCACTGTCCTCTTCTGATCCTGTCATTTACTTTTTCATTTTGCCTGTGTGAGTACCAATACTGGCTATTTGTACTTGGGGACATCTACAGCAACTGGATAATGATGCATTAACATCAGAATCCTTGCCCTAAAGTTTATTTTCTGATTTGTAAACTCTTAATACCTTAGTGCTCTGTGTACCTTCCTCAATGCCGTGACTTCTGTAACTTCACTGGTACCGGGTTTGATGCTATAAGTAGCCTGAAACCCTGCAGCAGATAGTCTTCTTTCTGGTGTTTAGAGTAGTCTGCTGTGGCCCCATCCTTGGGAATCAGGTTTTTTTTCTATTGATTACATGAAGGATGCTCTTTTCAGTTTGTTCTTTAGGAATGTGTCTCAATCCCTGTTGGAATCGCTTTCTGAAGGTCTAGTATCTTGTTATGGGCTGTGGATTAATATCAAATAGTAGCTTCCTGTTCTCAGGTTGGAAATTGTCAAGAGTCTCTGTAACTCTTCAAAAAAACTCTTGTGCCAGAATATTCAGGAATACAAAAGCCTTTCTCAGAATGACTTTTGAGTTTTTTCTTACAATTTTCATATATCCTATAGGTGTGTATTTATTTCCTGTGTAATGACTTGGACTTCTGCAATACTATTTACATCTTCCTTCTTTGGAACAATCCTATGACATCTTGACTGTATTTGTTTTGAACAGGGGTGGACGAAAACCATTGGGATTTTTATCTTTAATTTGCAAAAAAAGTAGTTCTGAATCTGCAGAAGATACCAAAGGAAATAGAGGGAAGATCCAAAAGCCTCAAACTGTGACTCCAAAGCGAAGTTTAAAGAAACCCACTCCCTCCACTAAGTGTGATAGGGAAACTTGTTCCCTTCCCTCTACATCTGTGGAATATGAGCATGTAGCTGCTGATGCTGCAGTTATGGTATGTGTTTACTTTGGAACACCCATGCATTTTTGAGATGTGAAGAACAGCAAATTAGGTGTTTCAGGAGTGGATAGTTGCACATGTAGCTCTCACGTTTTGAGAGAGATATCTTCTCCCTTGAACAAATTCTGACTTGTGCATATCTAAGAAACTTGTAAGGGAGCTAAGTTGTTTTTTCTCTACATGTATCCCATTTGTGACATTGCTTCCCATTTTCAGTAAACTCTGAGGTTTTTTTGTCGAAACTTCCTACATAAATAGGAAACTCAAGTGTGTATATGTGTAAATATATTTATACTTACACATACAGAGATTAAGACTCTTAAGAGCAATCTTTTCTTGTTTTGTTAGGTTCCAAGTAACAACTCATCTGAGAAGGCACCTCTTTGTGCTAAAGATCAAGAGAAGGAAGAAGAACCAACCAGAATCTCTGAGTATTTTTTCAGTGACATCTTTATGGAAGTGGATGATTCAGAATAGCAAATAGGTTTTATAAAAACCTAGGATTACAGGATATACTGCAACAAGAAAAGAGGATTTTTTTTTTGTTCTGACATTTGTTATGCCACACTTACTATCAGCCAATAATTCTGTTGTTAGTTAATACCATAAAGATGAAATGGATTCCTTCTGAAGCAACCTGGATACTTTCAAAATGTTGACATAATCTAAACCACTACAATGATGTCATTGGACCAGACTAGAGACTGCTGACCTGTAGTTCTACTTGTTTAGATGCTGGCATGACTGCCTTGCAGGAAAGTGCAATGAAATAATGTTTAATCTTGTAACAAATATCCCTTTGCATTTTAATGCTAAAGCTATTGGTACTGGCTATACAAATTCTTTACTTCTTTTTGTGAAGTATGTTATGTTAGGAGGAATGAACCTTTTAAGTAGAGTGTAATCTCTGAAGATCAGAATGCAAATACTGGAAGTAGTGTAGTAAATACGTAGATATGTTAAGCACCGCAGGTATTTTTATTAGAATCTCCAAATTATGTATTTTTTTTAACAGTTTTTAATTACATAAATTAAAAGATCCCAACCTGAAAAGCCGAGGGGGATTGGTTCCTTTAAAATGTATTGAAAACTAGACAACACCATTTACTAAAACACATTAGCACAAGGTAATCTTTGCAATGTTCATCACTGGGAGGAAGAGATTGATGTTCCCTAGTATAAGTGCTAATTTTCTTCTAAATTGGAAAACAAAGTGATCGATACCATTTCTTTTTCTTGGTTTTACATGTAAGTGTTTGTATATTTGCTGACTTCCTCGGTTTCCCTTGTGCAAAGAAGCACAAAGAGATTGGATTTAAACCATGACTGTACAATGCCGTCGTTTTGAGGATTTGCTGCTTTGAAGCACTTCAATTTGAAGGGTTTTCTCATGTTGCATGTCTACTTGTACTGTAACTTGCTATGAAATTCCAGTGTAGCTTCAGGTTTTTTACTTACCTCATCAAGATGATGAGGTAATGAGGTTTATACAGTGTCAAAGTGTCAGGTGGTCACTGACAGATTCAGTATTTACTTGGAAACTCCTGCTTGCATAGGAATGAGTGTTTAGATTTGAATAGTCTAAATTTTTCTCCTGTTACTTAATAGTAGCAGGTACTTTCGCAAAATAAATTATTTATTATGAATGTGAAACTGAAATCTGTTATCAGCTTTTAACTGGGTAATTTTTTACTGGCAGGTAAATAATATAAGTATGCAGTTAATTCTGAAGGACTTGAGTAAGTTCGAGAATGTTTGTCTTTTCAGAAGTTATTTAAAATTTTGTCAGTGAGGAAAAATATAAAAGCTACTGTTACTGCAAATTGATGTATTAGCAGGCCTCTGTCAATGAAATGTCACTGTCAGCAGTATTCCTTGAGGTGATAGAAAAGGGACTAATGATCCCAGTGTGAAGTAACTTATTTGAAAGCTTATGATCAACCCACCTCACCCCCCCAAAAAACCCCTCCAATAGCACCAACAGTTTCTGTTCAGATGGTATCTTGTACTTTGCCTAATCCATTTAACTTGAAATGTTTATCTAAATAGTCTTACTGTACATTATAAAATAGATTTATGTATACATAAAACTATGTATTGTATATCTTGTAGATATTATTTTAAGTATGCAAGTGTTTACTTATTTCCTGATACATGTGGCATGTTTATATCACTTGCACTCATAAAGCCTAAAAATAGAATTGTGGGGAGTATCTATGAAACAGTTGCTGTGAGTACCTTCTGAGTGAGTACTGAGGGGATAATCATTCTACATTTAGTTGCATACATTTTAGCTTGCATTCAGATTACAAGGTGGGGAAAAAATCAACTATTTCATTACTAAGATTTATGGTGCCTTATCTGAATTGTTAATTGGGGTTATGCTTTCTCTTTCCTTGCAGTAAATTCCATGCACTTTGTTAGATTTTTTTTTTAAAGAACAATTTTAATTTGAATAGACGTAGGTCAGTTTTTTGTGTTCTGTTTTGTGTATGAAAGTTCTATAATGATGAAGGATGTAAGAAAATATTGCTGAAATCTCAATGCCTCTGAGTAGCATTTTTACAAAGATGTGGCATAAGACTGCTTTGCTTAGAGTTGTCTGACACCCTGTATCATTGCATATGAGCTTTCTATTTCAAGGAAAGTACTTCTATTCTCTGTGTAAATTATGTGAATAAACTATTTTCTATTACCAGTGTTTCCATTTCTTTGAATATCAGTTGCCGTTTTTAAATGCTCATAGGCATAGTATGGTAGAGGCAGGGAAGCCCTGCAGAGAGACCTCAACAAATTGAGGACTGGGCAATCACCAACCGTATGGAATTTAACAGGGGAAAGTGCCAGATCCTGCGTCTGGGATGGGGCAACCCTGGATGTATGGGCAGACTGGGGAGTGAGAGGCTGGAAAGCAGTGCCATGAAAAGGGACCTGGGGGTCCTGGTCAATGGCAAGTTGAATGTGAGTCAGCAGTGCCCTGGCAGCCAGGAGGGCCAACCCTGTCCTGGGGGGCATCAGGCAAAGCATCACCAGCTGGTCGAGGGAGGGGATTGTCCTGCTCTGCTTTGCACTGGGGCAGCCTCACCTTGAATATTGTGTGCAGTTTTGGGCACCACAAAATAAGAAAGATATTAAGCCATTAGAGAGTTTCCAAAGGAGGGCAGTGAAGATGGTGAAGGGCCTTGAGGGGAAGCCATGTGAGGAGCGGCTGAGGGCACTTGGTTTGTCCAGCCTGGGGAAGAGGAGGCTGAGGGGAGAGCTCACAGCAGTTACAACTTCCTTGGGAGGGGAAGAGGAGGGGCAGACACTTCTCTATGGTCACCAGTGACAGGAGCTGAGGGAATGGCCTGAAGCTGTGTCAGGGGAGATTTAGGTTGGATATTAGAAAAAGGTTCTTCCTCCAGAGGGTGGTTGTCTGCTGGAACAGGCTCCCCAGGGAAGTGGTCACAGCATCAAACCTGACAGAGTTCATGAAGCATCTGGATGATACTCTCAGGCACATGGTGTGACTTGTGGGGATGGTCCTGTGCAGGGCCAGTAGTGGACATGATGGTCCCTGTCTGTCCCTTCCAATTCTGTGATTCTTTACGTGTGGGCTGCAACACCAGGGTGCATGAAGACCTGCTGGCCTGGTGGTAACCAGCTGAATGTAGTTTAACAGGGACATTGTTGTCCTGTGGTTTTGTTTTAGAATAGCACTGGATTTACTTGCTATCAGACTCCTCGGTATTATCTCTCTCTAAATACAGCCTTGATTTAAAACAGTTAAACTGGAATGCTGGAGAACAGCAAAGCATTCAAACAAGGAAGCAACTCGACCAAAGAGGTTTGGATTCTAAAAAGCTCTGTCCCTATTACTGTATAACAAAGTGTCTGAGAAGGCCAAGGGGCTCTCCCTGGCTGCACAAGCATGTAATCCTACGCGAAATTCTTCCAAGGGACGCTCCTCCGCACCCCCGTGCCCCCAGGTCCTGGGGAGCGGGCACAGGCCCTGCGCCTCGGGCCGGCCCCGCTGTGCCCATTGGCTGCGGCGGGGGGAGTGGCGGCAGCGGCGCGGCCTGGGACGGCCGGCTGGCTTTGCTCGGGGTGGCTCGGCTCGGCTTCGCTCGGCCCGGCCCTATCCATGCGGCTGGCGCCCCGCGCTCCCGGGCCCGCTGCTGGGGCTGCTGCGCCCGCTGCTCACCGCGGGTACGCGGGCGGAGGCGGTGGCGGGCGGTGGGGTCGCCCCGTACGCCGAGCTCCGCCGTCGATCAGGTATGGCGGGCCGGGGGCGGCGGCGGGCGGCCCGGGCGGCTCGGGAGGCGGGTCCGGCCTCTCCCGCTGGGCCGGGCGGCTTCGGGCAAGAGCGGGCCGCGGCGGGGCCGCATGTGCCGCCGTGGACCGCTGCTGCGAGCGGCGGCCATTTGGTGCTTGGGCAGCGCGGGCTGGCGCCGCGGGCGGGGGCCCAGCGCTGCTCCCGCCTCACGCGGGTTGAACCCGGGTTCTGCTCGCTTCCTTCAGCCTGAGCGTGTAAAATGAACCTGGGTTTGTACCGGGCGACGGCTTCGTCACGGACACTTTTACACTTTTTTTAATCGGAAGGCCGTTGCTCGCTGTGATTTAAGCTGATCGGTACTGTGCTAATTGAGGTGGAGACGGGGAGTTTTCAGGCGGCTGAGGACGGAGCCTGATGATTTCAGAGTCGGTCGTGTCCTTGTGTTTGCAAATTGATTCCCGAGTTGGAAATAGGTGTAGTAGCTGTACCGTCACGGACATGCCTCCATGAACGTCATCTTTTGAGGAGAAGGATTAGGTGTAATTCCACTTGTATTTACAAATAGAGAACAGTATTTGTATGTGGTATAAGTTGGTTCATTTTTAATGGGGCATTATTAACATTATCATGTTTCAGATAAAAGTCGTGTTTACACTAAGGCTGAGAAAAGCATGGCCTTACATGTGGATCAAAACTGATAGGAGAGCGTGCATTTGTTTTTGTCTGTATTCCAAGTAAAACATCAAACAACAGGTGAAGGGACAACATGTGTTCTTATTGAAATAGCTCCTTTGGTTCTGTGTTTGATATTGTGCTTTGTTTTGCTGAAACTAAATTTGGGACAGAAGTTAGGTGACTGAAACTCCTGTGAACTTTCAGAGTGTGTCTGTGTGTGTGTGTGTGTGTGTGTACATACAAAGCTTGTGTATATGAAGTGTGTGTATACATATGTATGTGTGTACATTCATATTTTGCATACCAACGAAAGGTATTTTAATAAAGGTCTGTACTCATCCCAACTGTCGCTAGATTTATATTTGTGTCTGTGTACCTTTCAACCTCAAAAGGAAAGCAAGGCTTGGTAAAATAGGTAATACTGTTAGTATTTGGTAGAAATAATTTATAGAACAACGTAAGTGCAAGTAGTGCTTTGCAAACACAAAATGCTGAGGTCCCTGCTGTGAGGCGCTTAACCATCTGAAATAAAAGTACAGTGCAAACACAAGATAATGATGAAGGTCTTGCCTTCTTTAGCCAATGTTTGCCTTTCTGGCTGTGAATTCAGCTAGACAGGCTGGCCTTCATAATGTAAACTGTCTTTCAAACCAGATAGGTAAAAAAGGTAATTTCAAAGTGAGGGAGTCTGAATTCTGGAAAAGGAAGGAAAGTCTATTTGAAGATTTCAGGGATTAGCTCTTAGAGCCCCCTTGCTTGAGTGAGAGTAATTCATTTAGCTTGTGGAGTAACTGTAGGATTAGTGTAGATTTCACCTCTTGATTTTGCTTTAAAATTTGTAGAAACCCTCATTGTAACAGCAGAATTTTATAGCCCTTGGTGGGCCAGTTTCCAGAAAGAACTTGGTGCCACTTCACTGGCCTTCTTGTCATTAATTAATGACAATAATGAAAAGCCCACAAATACATGGTAGAACTAGTACATTTGTTTCTGAGAGGAGTCTTTTCTGTGTGTATTCAAAATTATTTCAGAACATCATCTTTTTGGTAAAATATAATAATGATGTGTTTTGCTTAAAGGCGTGAAAGATCACAATAAAGGTTAAGTGAATTTAAGCAACACAAATGTTTGTGTATACAGTATTTTTTATAGATTATCTAAAGGGGTTTTTCACAATTTTTCATATAGAGTAGCTAAGGTAGCTACAGTTAGTTGTTAATGAGGATCTAGTAAAGAAGCCCATGATTGTGATTGCTGTTCCTCTTTTAATATCCTCTGTCTTTTTAGCTACTTTTTTTTTTTTTCTGTGTTAAAGGCGAGTTTTTAAGCTCAGTACTGTGGGCAAGAGGTGAAGTGTATTTGGGGAAAACAGGCTGAATGAACAAGGAGAAACAGGAAAAATATTTTATGTTGCTAAATCACCCACCCAGACAAGCTGAATGCTGGCACAGAATAATGTTGGGTGGTTGTGACAACTGCAGATTTTTAGAGATATGGAATTACAGTGGCTGATTTACAGATTTTTCACTGGGGAAAAAAAGTTAACTTGTAAAGAAGAGTCTTTTGGGAAGGGCAGGTTTTGTTTTCTTCAGTGCTTCGCGTGGTTGTGTGGCCAGTTACTGTCTATAGTCTCTTACAGGAACAGCATAGTCAAGATAACAAAGTGAGACTTCTTTTGTTCTTGGGGGTTTGGGATGCCATGCCAGTGTAAAACTGCCTGTGGGTCTATGCAGTGTGATTTCACAGGTTAGCAGGAAGAAAAACAGGTGTAGAGGTAGGTGTTGGAGCTGTGCAGTGATGGGCAGGGAGAGGGGCGATTAAACTATCAAAAGAAATAGATTGAAAGGGGAATAATCTAATGGACATACTGATACAGTCTTAAAAGGAATGGAGGGAGGAGATGCAGGAGGCTGGTGACCTACTGTGTCCCCAGTCGTTGGGGCTGCAGGGGGGCACCTTGCTTCAGAGAGATTTCATTAACTAAGGCCAATGTCTTGCCCGTGTTTGGTGTTGGCAGGCAATTATTTGGTTCATACAAGTGCAGGTTGTGAACCATACCAGGGATGGCACTTCATTTGTACTTGGGGAATCCTGTTCCCAAGAGCCAACAGAGGTACAAAAGTTGGACTTCAGTGTTTCAGAACACTGATCTTTCAGACTTGATCTTGCTGGATGACCTCTGAATACTGTAGGTGTAGTCTGAATACCTCTAATACCTTATGTATTAATTGTGTAGACGAGCTGATAAAATTGCTCAGACCTGTTTTCGCTGTAAATGTTTTTTAGCTTTCAGTAGAATATTGTAAATCTATTTGTAGCAATTACAAAAGGGGAGAAGTGTGTTCTTTTGAAAGTCACTGTATATCTAAAACAGAATGTGAGGTCCCGCCATACATGTTTTTATTTTCTTTCTGCTTTGTATCTTGGTGCCTTCAAGTGCCCAAGACTGACCTGAACAACCTTAACTGCAACGTTGGCAGCTTCTAGGGGAAACCTTAAGTCTGAGTGTTGAAGTATACATGAATATAAAGAGTCACCAGGTGTTTTTTTCTGTCAAAGTAGACTCAAACATAATCTAAATGACAATTAGACAAGGCAATATGGTCTTCTTATGCAGCATCTTCTTTTATTGCAGTTACATTTTTCAAAAAGGTAATATAGTTCTTAATATGTCTGCAGAAAAGCCCAACAAATTAAGCTTGACTAATACCTTCAAATTCCTCAGAAATTGGAAAAAAAAAGCTCTGCTGTAATGAGCA